TTTCCTTGAATTCTTTTTCCCACCATTTGGTGGGAAAATGGTTTCCATGTTTTTTTTTTTTGCAATGGATACAAAATATATCCACATTTATAAAAAAAGATTATCTCTTAAATTGACAATTTCCATGTAAAACAAAGCTAAACGAACACCAATTTTTTTTCAATTTTTATTTTTTTTTATTTTTTAGCAGTCTAAACAAATTTTTCCCCAATTGTAAAAAAATTTATCCTTTTAATTGACAATTTTCATAAAAACGAAGCCAAACGGACCAGATGGAAAATTATATCAATCAAATACAATTAATTACAATTTTCAATAAAACGATTTTTAAGCAATTCAATTCTCTGGTATTCATTTTCTTTCTAACAATTTTCCACCCTTTCAATCAAACGGACCCTAAGTGTATATTCAAAACTACTATTCATAATCCACAATTTTGTGATCTTCACCTCCATTTCTCATTAAAAAATTCTTAAAATAATATTATTCAATTTCAACTTGTTTTGAGAATTAAATTTTTAAACATTTTACAGAAATGCAAGTATCATAGAATTGATTTTAGAAAATTTAAAAAAAAATGCTATGATAATTTATAATTTAGCTTGTGTTTGATTTAGTTAAAAAAAAAATCAGATTTTTAATAGATTTTGATCAAGAAAGTTTCTTAAGATCAATCACAACCACACCGACATTGTCCGAACTCCTCCTAGCCAAATCCAGATGTACAAGCCTTGTCGGAATTCTCCCCAGCACCATTGTCATTACTTTCCATCGACGGCTCACTGGTGGATACCGCCTTCCCTTTTAAGCAGATCCTTGAACCCCACACGCTGTGTCATTCGATGCAACGTCACACAACCCATCGCTTGCCAATATCAAGCAGCCATCGTCTGCACTCCGATCCATAATTGTTACCTCCGGCTCACAACTAACGTATGGCTTCAAATAATTATCACCTATATTATCAAAATTAATTTATTCATACATAGAGGCATTTTTCTTTCTTTAACCATATTCCAATTTTCCTTTCCTTTTCCATATATATAAATATCTTGCATAAATGCGCGATTTTAAGTCATGTAAACTCGTACACACAGGAAGTAGAAATTAAATAAGTCAACGCGATTTTAAGTCTTTGTTCATGTAACATCAGGGACTGGTCCAGGACCGGACTAATACGTAAAAAAGAATTACACGTGATTTTTTTTTTTTTGACATAAAAAAAAAAATTTCTAACTAAAAAAAATTTAGTTGGGGGAGGCATGCCCCACCCCCCACCCCACCCCCAATCCGTCCCTGCGATGGGAAACACAAATCAAGAACCAATTTAATACCTTCGCATATAACACGAAGCTGACATTATTAGCGTATTTGGCCATAGAGATACCAATATTAGATGAATAGGGGTATGGTTATTTTTTGTCACGAGATAGAGATGAATACTATACGATAGTGGTAGGAAATTCTTTGACAATGAATCAAGTTACTAAAAAACATGCAGTTCTAGCTCGACATTGTAGGCATTTTCCGACTACTGCATGGAACATATTCATTTGAGAAGTATTTTTCTCTTCCAATATTTTTGTATTGGAGCTTCCCTAGTTCTTTTAATCGAATTTAAATAACTGTTATAACCTTATTTTAAATTAAAATTATAGAGTACAAACCAAAAAAAAAATGTATCATCGTTGGTAAACTGCATTGGGTCTGTTTCAAATTTTCTTTCCAGCATAGTCGTGCAGTATTTTCGTGCTTCAAATGTTATTTTCAAGACCCAAATTTTTTATATGTTGTACATATATGATTGTTATAATCTCTGTTAAAATTTCACAAATTTTCGTCAACGTTTGCTAGGCCAAACAGTTTTTATCTTTCCACTGCTGCGCTATTGATATTGCTGAATTTCTTCCGAATGTTTTCCAAAATCAAATTTTACCGCAATTGTCAAAGTCTATATAGACAATTATTTCCCATCACATTTTTATAATATATTTCAAGCTTCAAACTTTCCTTATTTGAAATTTATTTTGGATGACATTAAAGAGCTCAAATTAAGAAGCTTTTTAACGCTTTGAGTTCCTAGAATTTGGGGCGTTACAGTATTACACTTTAGAATGGTGTAATCATGTGTAGCATAGAGGTTCTCT